AAAAACCGTAACAATTAGTAATTCTTTTGTTTAATTTGAGAAAATGTTACGATTGATACACAGTACCGCTCGATCAAACATTTTGTATATAAGAACTTATGGAATTCAGTTTAGTTCAAAAGAAACAGCTAATTCATGATTTGTTGAGTCTGGCGTCCATGCTTTTATTGACCAAAAACGAAATATATTGACCTGTTAAGAGTACAAGAACCTGCTTAATTCACGCCTACCTAGTACATATGAGCCACGAAACGCTCAATCGAATACTAATCATATATTTTTAAAATAAATAAACCTTTTAACTGAACAGACTGCGACAAGAAGGGAATAAACGTCTAGTGTAATTACGTTATTATTTAAGGGAGAAGAATTTAAATTAAAGGGTCTCAACTCGTTTAAAAAATTAACGACTTTTCCCTGAACAGACTACTCTCTTTACTGAGTAGTTGGTCCTACTGCACGCAGCGTGAAAAGACGCGAACCTAGCCAAGCATATTGTGTCAAACGTGTAAACAATTATGTCACCTGTAAACAATTTCTTGTGGGGCCAGAAAGAGTCCTGTATTCTTCTGCACCTTTGTGTAAGTCTAGAATATAAATTTGTTTAGTACACCGTAGTAATTTTCAGTCTTGAAGTCGAGAAACCTACGGTAGATTCTCCAACGTAAGTTGCAGGTCTAACGAATCCCTCAGCATTTGCGTTTTTGATGATCAACTATTATCTACTTTTAATTTGTTAACTTTGTTTTATTTAACTTGGATTGATCTATCGGTGTCTAGTAGAATACCGTGATACTTTTAACTAGCATAACTTGAAAATTAGGAAAGAAAGATGTAGACATGTTTTTCGTCTAATTTTAACTTGTTCTTTTTCAGGTTGAAGATGAAGTCAGTGGTGCCATTCAAGTTCATTTTGATGTTCTTTCTTATTTCACATTTACCAAGAGGTTGGTTTTCTCGAATTGTTCTTTATTGATTTAAATGTTACTGAGAATTTCGAATGATGCATATGAAACTCAGTTATTCACATAAATCCAACTGTTACAGTCAATGTAACTGGGGCGTGAACAAAGCGATTGCCGTCCATTACATGAATTCCAGTTCAAGTAAAGAATTTGAGTTAAAATATCGAATTACTAGATCTGACTTACTAGTTTTAGACTGACCGCCATTAGAAAGATTTACCGATATTTTCTGGTTGCCAATAAAAATTCTTTTACTCATCCTTGTTGGTTATCAGATGACTGTAACCATCTCAAGTGTTACCTTTATTGTCTCGAATCCGAAGCACGCTCGACAAATAATTGATAATTATAAGTCGGTTTCCTTTTGAGACTTTCCAAAACTTGTGTTACATCGTGAATGTAATCTCCAACCTGAAACAGAGCAAATAATGTTAAGTATTTTACCTGTTCGATAACGAGAAAAGGTTCTAAACTAATGCTTCTATCCATACATTATGTTAGGAGGATATTCCAAAATTTATATTCCAAACTATACCAATGTACCAACTGCACCAGTTACGGGAGGGTGAAGAAGTCAGTCGGATGACCGACAAAATTGACCGAAGTTCCTGTCTTATTGGTTTTCCACATATTTTCATTCTATCTGGCACACAAAATGTTACTGACTTCAATTCTTCTTGTGGATTTCCAAAAAAATTTGTACGTGATTTGTATGTGTGTACATGTTTAATTTTAGATTTTGATATTTGAAGGCGACTCTAAATTTCTTTTCCTTTTAAGTCTGTTCTTGATTGTTGGAAGAAATGCATGGACGAGTTGATTATAAAACAAGTTAAATTAAGAAAACTATCATATAGAATGAATAAAATAATGTGTTTATTCGTTAATTACCTTTCTGTAATTTTTTTTGCTCGGAGCACAATGTCGCCTCGCTCCGTATGAAAAACTTTCGTTCTTGAGGTCAAATTCAACCAAGCTAACCAGTAAGCTCTCGACTAAAGATTCAAAGATGCAACCAACCACCCTCCAAAGTGAGTATTAAATGTAGAAATCACATCGACTCGGAAAAAATTCCGAGTTAATTTTTGCGAGCCGATGTGATTTCTACATTTAATACTCACTTTGGAGGGTGGTTGGTTGCATCTTTGATATGCTTTAAATGTGACTGCGTGATGTAGTTAGAGAGTTCATATGCGCCAATTCAACATTTGGCTGTGTGACCGCGCGATGCGGTTTCAGACAGAGGCCCACATTTCACCCTTGCTCAACATAGAGTCTCCAGTAGCTCAGTGGTAAGAGCGTCCGGTCTAGATCACGGAGGGTCGTGGGTTCAAATCCCATCTGGAACTCGGAATTTTTTCCGAATCGATGTGATTACTACGATTAAAGATTCGTCCGATAAAATAGTAATCTGTGAAGTACTATTTCTTGTTAGATAAAGATATTTTAATTTTATGGCAAGTAAAGACAGCAAAGAAGTTTAATTCAATTACAGCTTACCTTTCGTGTATTCAAATCGCCCGCCATTTTGAACTTGACCCGCGCACGTCAACGGTGACTAACAAATGAGCCTTGGGAAGACTTCCTTATATAGCGCGCCTTCGTGTTTAAGGTTACACCAGGCGATAAATGTAGCTTAATTTTGTTCCTTAAGTTTGTTTTGTTAAGATAATCTCTCTCAACTTATTTTGAGGTCACTTCCAGCTTCAGAAATCCCAGGAGGATCTAGAAATAGCGAATCACACGACGCGAATATTACCCACGTGCTCAACCCAGAAGGCTTTGCACGTATTTTTATCCTCCACGAAAACATCTACGCAAGCGCGTGGACGGCGTGGTATCATACGCGGAGGAACTGGGTACAAATATCTAAAATTAACTTGAATGAGACTATCCAGGGGAGATGACTCCTTATCCTCTCTCGTGGGAGGTCATTTATAATGACCGTCTCCATTCCCCGGGTTTCGATTCTAATGATAGGTGTGCGTAGTAAAAAATTGAGAAACCTTTTCACGGGTTTTGATGCCATCATGTTTGGGGAGGGGGGGGGG